GCAGAACCAAGTGCTCCAGCCAGACGGGTTGTACCCCCAGTAGCGCTTCAGGCCATTGTTGTGTTGCATTCGCTGCATCTTCCTGCTTCTGCAGCCCCAACAGCTGCAGCAAAACCTCGTCTATTGCCTGCTGCTCGTCTTCAGTAATTGGCGTGTTCGTAAAAAGCTGCCTGTCATTACCATCATCATCAGCTGGTTCGCTCTGATGACTCAACAGCTCTTCCGGCAGCAGCCAAGATCCTCGCTGGTCGTCTGCCGTTACGTCGAAGCAAATCTGTCCCAACAACAGAGACGGCTCCTCTAAAAGAAATGCGTCACGCAGCAGCGGTGCCCACAAAGCGTACTTTCCCGCCTCCTGCAGGGCCTTCACGTACTCATCTGGCCCTCCTCCTTCAGTGCTGCTACGTGAAGCACACGAGGAACGGCCAGGTTCGCCGCAGGGACTTCCTGAGGAAGCCTGTGAGGCATTACACGCTGCAGCGCTTAGCATCATTGGCGTTTGTTGGGCGTGCTGAGTCTCATCGGCTGTGCCTGATGCCCACTCTGCACTGATCGCACAGCTGAGCTGAGTTCGTCCGTTCCGCTGGGTCGGTGTCGCCGAGGAGAGCAAGCCGCGAAAAGCGGCAGTGCCCTTTTCCCTGCATTCTGCGGTCGGTGTTGAATAAGGCGAAGAAGTCGTAGTTTTTGCTTCCAGATTCCAGCAGGTTGCAGATGAATCCATAGCAGCCTTCATAGCAATGGAGCGCGCGCTATTGGACCGAGGGGGCCAAGCGGAGACCGATGCAGAAGCCTGATCATGGGCCCCGACACCAAAGGGATATAGCTGATGGGCGCATCAGCTACTGGCCATCACTTGTGGGAGCACTTGGTAGTTCGGCGGGAACGGTTGCGTTAAGCCCTGACAAGTCCGGCGAGCATTAACAAAGCAACGCAGGAGACACCCAGACGCTAGTGAATAAAACCGCCAACAGATGAGTAAATACTATAAATGCATGATCCACAAACTTGTCAAAATTTCCCAATACTTTCCAATAAACAACTAATTATACCTTTTAGCACTCTGGCTGGCTCTGTGGCGAGAACAGTGACAACTTTGGAATGCTGCAGAAATATAGGACGGGACGTTGCGGCCCAATGAAGGCTGAAAACCACAAGAATTAGGTGTAATCTGCAAGCATTAGAAAAAGTGAAGGTCTAAGATGCTATGCCCCTTATTTGCAACCCCACACCACTTGATGAGCCCGGTAACCCCTGTCAGACTGCAGCTGCCCGAGAGTAGTAGCCACAGGAGTATCCTCGCACTTTCTTCTTTCCCAGAACCATGCTTTTTTCAGCTGGGTTTTTTTGCTGCATATTTCGTGTACAAAAGTATGCGCAGTTTCCGCAGTTTTCATCAACAGGCTCTCGGGGGCTATTCTGGCGCACCATCCTGGCCAGAGTCATATGCTTTAACCCCTCAACTAAGCATAAATGCTGCCCTGAAAGTATTTTTTCATGCATTTTAAAGACAACACAGGGATGCATTTGCTTTTAAGGCGTCATCGAACTGATGAATACGCATAAGCACTCATAGTGACTAAGTGACAGCGTCACTGTAGTGTGGCTCAGCTTGGTGATGTTTTATGTTGGTAGAAGTATTTCTATTTAAGCGCAGGCTGGCTACTGACGGCCAAATAAGTGTACGACGACCTTCTACTGTGTTAGTTAATGCGTAAATGAGCGGCTTGGGCGAGAAAAATGTAGTAGTGTGTGTGTGTGTGTGTCTGCTCCCAACGTCATACATCGCTCATACTGCAGTTTTCATCAGAAATGTGCACCTCTACTGTTAGCCGAGCCATCGGTTTCCACCAGGAACACCATTGTTCCAGCTTATGAACGGAAATCCAGCACTGATCTATTTGGTAACTCCTGACTGATATGCATCTCTTCTCCACCAGCGATTCTAACTGAAACGTTTTAGAGAATCCCCCCTCTGCTGTGCACAAGTGCGCGCTCTCACGAAGCCCTTATGCCTCTATGCACAGGAATTACGCCCAAAAGGTACTCGTGCAGATAAGATGCTTGCTCTGCACTGTGTGCTGTTCGCTGGCTTCCGTAAAACCAACGAAGGTAAAAAGGCGCTTCGGCACTGTCTACAAGCGGATGCAACGCGCATTCCTCTCTCCGGGTGCTGCTGCAAGACAGTCAAACAGGCTCAGCATTCTTTGCTGCAATGAATGCGTGCACCCCTAGCCGTGGATACTGTACGTGCCAAGGGTGCGTTTGACCCGCTGCTCGATGGTACTGTGATCTTAAGCTTGCTCATAGACAGCCTTCCTCCAAAAGGGGCGCGCGGGCGGCTGCTTGCTTCCATTCAATATTGTCGGGGAATCTAAGTTTGATCCCATCCCTAGTTCGAACGTGCATATGCAAATATTACTGCATCGAAAATAGAATGTACCTGAGCCAATCGTCCACGCATATCTGCCAAACATCTGTCAGGGTATTCCATACCTAAGGCAGGCAGAACACGGGCTGCTCACCGAATGAAGACCTTTGCAATGCAGAAAGCCTCACAGCAGCGCCTCATGTGACATGTTGAGCTAAGCCGGTAATCAGCCATTAAAAACATGGGTACTGCGAGTAGCAGCCCATCCCATGAGATTCCCCAACTCGAAGTTCCGCTAATTAGCGCGCGTCGGAAAATAGGCACATGCCATGCGTTCGAGAATAGACAAACTTATAAAGTACCTTTTACATAGCACACAGCAACCGCAGCTGAAGCCACAGGTCTGGATATATAGAAGAGAGGACGGAAAGCAATCAGGAGATGGCAGCTCAAAAAGCTCTTCAAACAGCTCGAGGGCTTGCTCAGGAGTCATGAAACAGGTATGGGTGCGTTCCCTCTTACCAGCTTGTGCGTGAGAGGAACAGGCTCGCAAATTATACAAGGCGAATGCCGGAAGTGCGGAATCACTACAATCTGTTGTCCGTGTGCCCCACGATGTATTGTCTTCGTCCAGCACGATCCCTTTGTCACGTTGCAAGTCAAAAAATCTTGGGGCATTTGCCCTGCAGGGTAGCCGGAAGGCTGATTGACAGATGACTGGTCCGGTGCACCATTGCAAAACTTCGAAACGCACTCCAGTAGCTCTGCTGTGTCACCAGTGTTGGCGCCGCACAGGGCCTGCAGTGCGCCTGCCAAGACTGGTCTGCCAAAGAAAAAATCCAATGCGTAGACTTCCTTCCTTCCCGTTCCCTGGCGTATTCTTCGCCTGTACTGAAGCGCCCCTCTCTTCCTGGGTTCCTGCTGTGGAAAGAGTCACCACGTCGCAAGTCGCGAGTTTCACACAACCGCAAGCAGCGGAAGCGGCGGCTGATGCTCCGGCGAGAGCAGGAGCAGTTAGCCGCGTAAGGACCTCTTCGGGAGGCTTCACTTCTACTGTAGTTGTGCCAAAGAGGGCAAGTGCGTCTACATCTGGGCTAGGACGCTGAGTTCCTCTAGTCGTTTTTACTTTATGTTGGTATTCCTGGAGCTGCACAGAAGGGGAGGCAGCTACCTCGAAGGGGTGCTGGCCCTCTCCTGCTGCTCCCGAGTCATCCGGGGTTGCTGCGGGCAGGGGCGAGACAAGCTCGCTGAACTGCCTCAACCGGTCGATCGCCATGTCCCTGGCCTGGAAGAAGCCGTGAACTGCGCAAGTATATCCTTTCCATATTCGGCGGCCACTAGCCTGGTCTCGAACCCGAGCGTACCACCTGCCGAGCACTCGGCCGTAGTTCAGGTGAGGAATACGAGGCAGCTTTCGAGCTTCGCTTTAAGACCGCCTCTTTGCCTTGCACCGTAAGCATGCTTGCTTTTCGCTTCCCTACGGAAAGACTCGTTTGCTCGGGGTGCGCAAGACAGCAGCCACCTTCGGCTGCAGCGAGCTGCAACAAACTCCTTGGTAGCTGTACGCACAGGGGTTCCAGCGTGGAACTAGTGCACAGTTTCCGTTCCTTCCGAGGACGGGCGTGCATATGTGGTATGTCTTCTTCGGGCAGGCCGAGAATGAAGGCGTCCCGCAGGATCACAGGCACAGGGGACCACGGGCGGCGCAGGAGGTTTAAGGACTCTACAGCCCGGAAGCATAATTCGCCTATGCGGGGTTGCACAGATAAAACCTTACAAACTCTCCGTCTCGCCACTCCCCCAACAGTGGCCGAGTGGCTCCATGTGGAGGTACACAATAAGACAAGCCGTGCAACCAGCCGTCGCATAAGTTCCCAAAGAAGGTTGGGCCTTGCGGTAGTACAAAAATGCCTGCACGAATGCAACCCAAAGCACAGTGCGCAGTCTGCCACGATCTCTCCGTCTCAGCTTAAGAACACTGAACGTAGCCCCCAGAGCTTCAAGCACAAGCCTATAGGCACAGCTGAATTGCACGAAAGCTGCACAATAGAAGAACGGAGGAGAAAGACTCGCCAGCCCCGCTTTGTTTGTCTGCCTAAAACTCGCCTTTATAGACAAATCCATTGGGTGTTATAAAGACTCCCAAGCCGTGGAGCCGGTCGCGAACCCACTGACCGCAGTAGACCGAGTTGTCAGGGTATCTGTACACCCCCAAACCGTCGACGCTCCCCGCTCGCACATTCCCGCAGTGCACGCTCCCGTCTTCCCAGCTCAAAAAGCTAAAAGGTCCCTTATCCTTCGGCAACGATTCTGTCAACTTACAGAAGAGGGAGATGGCGAGGTCCTTATCCCCGTTGTCTCCCCCAGAGAAGGAGGGAGGCGGCGACGCATATACTTCGTAAGTGCCCTCTCCGGTTTCTGCGTTTCTCGCCTGAGAATTAGCGTTTGTGCCTATTGGATGGACGCTCGAGCTACCATTGCCAAGAGCATCTTGCGGCTGTCAATGCGCACCAACGCGACCGACAGAAGCGGTAGGAGAGATCCTCTCATAGCCCTGCACTCTCAGTCCCCGCTGCTGAGCCACAGGTGGACGACGCTGCCCTTTGAAGCCAGCAGGGGTCGCTGTAACACCCTTTTGTTTCGGCATCATGGTATAAGTTGAAGAGGCCCAAATTTCAGATAAAGTTCCAAAATATATGCGAAACGTCCCTCAGGGTTAGCTGTTTCTTGCGCAAGGATTCGTCCAAAATCTTCCTGTAGCAGAATAGAGCCTCCCCCAAAGGACGCCGCCGATATCACGGTACGAGCATGATTCGCTTAACTGACAGCGCTTCATCAGGGTTTCCCAATTCGTTTAAGGAGGTACGCGCTTGGAGGAGAAGGGCATGGCAAAAAAGAATTGAACACGGGGACGGCAAAAAGAGGTGGTGGTACGCGAAACCCCGAGATACCCTCTTCTAGGATCGATACTGACGAGTGCAGGCGCTGTCTCCATGTGGAACAGCAGCAAAACCGAGTTATCTCGACGCTCAGCCATTTCTGGGAAGCCTACTATTGTAGAGGAACAAGCCACGCCCTGCCACCGGGCGCTTCCTCGTTCCTGAGGTCCCGCTAAAGAGAAGCCAGGGGCCCTTTGTTGATATGAGCAATACAAATAATATTTATTTATGATGAGATGCAGGACTCCGGGAGGGATCGCTTGGGCCTATGGTAGGCAAGGATGACGGGCTATTCAATGTCTTACGGCTGGCTGGGGATGACACCGAGGGCCGGCTGACGACCTGTTTATGGCATTTTGCATTTAACAACAAAACGTACACAAACGATCCCCCTGAAGCTGAAAAAACTATTGTGTGCCCTCTGCTGACAATTCCAGCTGGCTGGAGGGCGGCAGCCCGTCGGCAGTGGTAGATGATCCACGCAAGGGAGAGCGGGCTACAGCGAAGTTATTCTGTTCCAAGGAAAAATGATATACAATTTGAGATGCGACCGAAGGAAGACGATGATACGGCGGGGAGCGCCGCATCCTCGCCCGTGCAGCCCCACGGGCCACTTCAGCCATGCATCCGTTCGGAGCTGCCGATCGACTGCGTGTATTGAGCGATCTGAGAGCTCTTGCACGTTTCCTGCTCCAAGAGGTGATTATAAGCGTGTTTAATAAATTTGGCCCTGCCCTCCAGACGGATTACTACTCCCGCCGAACCTACCCTACTCTATGATAGTCGCACTATGGCGTTGAGAAGAACTGTAAGAACAAACGCGCGTGTTCACAATACAGATTCCACTCGTGTGAAGGGCAACAGGGGTTTCATATGCGTAACTAATTAAACTCGCAATGAGGACGGAGTTTGCGCAGTTTACCTCTGCAGCGGGGCAGCTCACAGCAGGCAGTTACTGAGCCTCTACGGAATGTCCCCAGAAGTCTTTCAACAGTTCTGCGCTCACAGGGGATTACGCGGACCAGTGCGTCGCCCATGCAGCGTCAGAGGCGCGCGCATGTGCCGCTGACACCGGAGACGAACTGCCACTCTTCTCGATGGTAAACAGCTACATGATCCAACAACAGAAATAGCAGTTACGCTCGCATGCCGCCGCAGTTACAGTTGCTTCAGCCTACGATTTCTCAGTTCCTACGATGTCTTCCATGGGCGATCGCTTCCCGCTCGAGGGCTCAGTGGGCAGTGAGCAGCGAGGACTCCCTCCTGCAGTAAATCCCCCACACCCGCACCCCGATCGTTCCGATCCCTCGTGTACACGCACATATTCCTTGTCGTTTTGGCCCTAGCTGGTCTGAATATCGGGAGCTTGTACTGGATAATGGCGTCAGAATCCTCATTAGCCATCTTGTGCACCACATTGGGACCTTCGGCAGTTGCCGATATCCCCCATCTGATCAGCACCATCTCCAAAAGCGAAAAGAATGAACTACTCGAGATTACGTCACCCAGAGGTCTCAACGGTCAAGTCAATCCGGTGCATGGTCCGAAACCGCCAGGCAGAAACAAGTGAACGGCGTTCCTGCTGCTGGAAATCGAACGGGGAAATCCGTGTTTATCACCATCAGCATGATAACGCATGACTGACAACGTATGACTCTTCTACTAACTCAGCAGTCACAGGCAGGAACAGCAACAGCCTGGCACCACCGCAGATACAGGCAGCTTGTTGGGCGCCGCTGTCAAGAGCTGCCGCACGCTATTCAACGCTGGGGGCGAATGGCCTTGGGGATCCTTCGACGTACGCGGCGCCGGTGTCGGACTGCCCGGGGGTCCGTGGCAGTGTACCTGCACAAAAAGATAATGAAGCAGCAAAGGGCTTGTTTCCTTTGTCTAGTACTTGTCCCCCGTTTTTTGCGCTACGTGTCGATATCCCTGTGCCTTTTGCCTCTTCGGCCCTTTGTGCTGTCTGCATGTCACTATCCGTCCGTCTTGCTCCGTGTTGGAGCTTCTGGGAAGGAACCGAAGCTCCCACTGCTGAGAGAAGCCTTACGGCCGCACGCTGGGACTCAGAGACGCAGCCCCTGCATCACGCAGCTTTGTGTCCTCTAGCTTCCTAGTCACGCCTTCTTCAATACCCATGAGAGCAGCAGCCGAAGCGGCTGAAGCATCAGGTCCGTTCTGATACGTACATTTCACCGCAAAAAGCTACCAAGGCCTGCTGAAGTGCGCACGCGCAACACCACCAAGCAAAAACAAGCAGAAGGCGAAAGAGTAGTGATGCCTAGCTCATCCTTGTAGTGCCCACTTCGATCACCTACTTTCTTGGGGAGGCCGTCTGTCTTAAAAATATCCCAGGCATGTCCACCACATATCGGCGCTTGCAGTGCCCTCTGCCTCCCCTTGCAATGTCGGACGAGCGGAAGCAGCTGCAGTAGAACAGGGCCCACCAACAGGTAGTCCCCTATGCTGGCACCGTAATCCGTGAAGGCTTCCTGCATACAAACCCCGAGCACTGCCTATCAGTACATGGCAGGCACGCAACGCCTGCATGCACTGGGACGCAACCGCATGCCTAGAATTGCCGGAATCCCTACATCTACTATGCCAAGTGCATTGAGCTGTCTGTACAGCCTGAGCTTCGCCGCTTCACTGTTGAACTTCACAGGTTCAGTTAGCAGGGAGACGAGAGGCCCTTTCAATTCAAAACAGCGCCGCCCTCCTGAGCCCAGCACATATTTGCGGAAGCGTGTGAAACGGCCCCCTAGGCTGCAGCCCCGCAAGACCTTCGGATGCTGCATCCATTGCATGTGCACATAGGGGCACTAATCATGGCACGGAAGAGGCCTCCCATCACTCCAGCAGCACCTGCTTCTACAGCAGGCGGTGCCACTGACGGCCTTCTAATGGTTGGCGCAGAGACTGCTGAGAACTCACTGATGCTGTTTTCACTAGTGAAGTCTGGAGAGGCATGCAATACCTCTCCGTTATGCAGCAATCGTTGCAGCTTCCCCTGTTCCCGAAGTTCCACGATAGTCCACTTGTAAGGATCTTCTAGAGAGGGGAAAGAAGGGTACGGACGCTTTTTGCTGCTGATGGTGGAGACACGTATGGGCGGTGCTGCTGTTGGGCGACGCATCATATTAGCACCGGGTTGCTGCTGTTGCTGCTCCAGCTCGTCAACAGTGAACAGCAGCAGCCTACGAGGCGCTGATGCTGCACCCGAAGAGTAAGCAGCCAAAAACGCCAAGTTGTACGCCCCTGGACTCAGTTGTTTTTGCTGTTGTTGATGCTGCTGTTGATGCTTAAAGTGAGACAGCAGCATCTGCCGCACTTCAGCACTGAGGTCTGCGACGCCTGCAGCCTTTCGAAGGGCTCCAAGGAGGTTTTCGCACCCGTCGCCGCGTAGAGCTAAAACAGACAAGATATACACGGGGCATCCTCATTGCAGCGAACTTAACGTCGGTGAGCGTATGCACAAAGCATAATGTCCCACGTTTAGAAGCTACGGCAACAGCACACGCAGCAACTGCACTGGAAACAGCTGCGCTACTCACCTGAGACTGAGTAGACCTCTCCGATCCCCGTTTGGGATCTTACCCTGTCCACAACGCTTGCTACTTTCCGCCTGTCTTGTTTCTGCTTGCGCTGACACTGTTGCAGCAAGTCTATCTTGTTGAGTGCCACAATCAACGGTAGGTCTGCAAGCTGGGGATTTGCTTGCAGCAGCTGCTCCCGTAGCGTGCGGCACTCCTCTGCGGGATCCTGAAGAAATAGTGTCATCCGCATCCCAGTCAATTACCACTAAAATTTGAGCTTTCAGTGTGACAGGGCTGCAAAGACGCAGCTCAAGACGCTGTGATTTAGCTGAGCTGAGAGATAGGGCGGATTCTCACGGGAAGGGAGCCGTCTACAACCAGCAAGACGGCAGTGCCCGCGCTGAGACCCTGAAGGGGTTCCTGTTGCTGCTGTACACCTGGCAGCAAAATGCTCCTTGCAGTTGCTGCTGTTGCTGCTCCGGTTTCACCCACTGCTGCTGCTGTTGGGGGAGCCGATGCTGGTAGCAGTCCTGGAGTATCGATGGCGACAAGTGGTGCTGCTGAGGCGAGTGAGATGCCTTGCTCTAGCACATGTACCAGACATTTGTTCTGCTGCTGCTGCTGCTGCAGCAGCTCTGAGGGCCTCTGCTCAATTGGGAGGTTGTGGGATGTTGCTGCTGCGGGTGTTGGGGCGGGGATCACGCAGATAGTCGCCTCAGAAGTTGGAAGCCACACGTCCTCTGGAACTGCCGCCGATAGCCACTGCTGTTGCTGCCGCTGTTGCTGGTGCTGCTCCCTGACCTGAATTCCTGTTGCCCTTCGGGAATGGAGTGCACGCTGGTGAGTAGTGGCAGCAACGGCGCCACCACTTACATGCGCAGCAGCGCCTTTGGGGTTTGCTGCTGCGGCACCGGCTGTGGCCACTGCAGAAAGTGCCCGCAGCAGCATGGACTTGCCGCTCTGCATGCGGCCCACAACAACAAAGTCGCTGAAGTTGTGGAGCACCAGCAGCTTCCTCCGCTCTCCCGGGGTCCCTGTCTCTCCCAGGAGTGGGTGCCTATTGCTGCAGCAACATGGAAGGGCGCAGAATACAGCAACAATTTCAGGCGCCGCAGAAGCAATAACACACAGTAAGATCCGCAGCAATGGCCGTGCAAAGGGGTCTCTACTGTCTCCGAATACTTTTCAGTATCCAGGTGTTATTCTTAATGTTGCTGCACTTGTTATTCTTAATGCTGCTGCGACGCGAGCAACAGTGAAAGGATAAGTAAAAATGGTTTACTGATTTGAGACGAAGGCCAAGTTGCCTCTGCCTCCCATCCCTCCGCGAGCCGCCACCAGGGTATCTCCGGGGGCTGTGAAGTATATGCTGCAGATAGCAGACTGCTGCTCCCCATGTTGTTGATGCCGCTCTTGTTGTTGTTGTTGCTGCTCCACCGCCGCTTCACTTGCTTTCCCGTCCACCTGCTGTTGTAGCCGCAGCAGACGTCGCACCGCATTAGCTGCATGCGCCTGCACCGCGGAGACGTCCACGACCAGAGTATTGGGGGAGAGCCCTAGCAGAAGATCAGGGCCATGGGCCTGAAGCAAGAAACGATGCATCATTTTCAACACGATAGCTAGTGCCAGCAAAAACCCCTGTGCATGTGCTGCAACAGCAGTAGTTGTTGCCAGCGGCAACACAGGGAGCCAGCAACCCTGCAACACTAGCCGCACCCCGCAGTCCTAGAAGCTGCAGCCGCAGCACCAGAAACATCCACAGGAGTAGCTTTGTTGCGAGCGGCGGCAGCAACAAGCACCACAGCGCACTCCAACGCACCCCAGTTTTTCCCTGTCCCGTGCCAATCCCCCCTGAAGCCGCTCTCCAGGATCCGCTTTCTCCTACCGCTGACAGACGCCGAGGCACACTGGGGGCCTCTTCCGAGGCCCCCACTGCCCTCAGCAACACGCAGCCTCCCCGGCCTCCGCTACCTCCTGAAGCGCCGCTACGTGGTGCCGCTTTGAGGCGAAGAAAAGCGATCGACCCGTCTCCTCCACTGCCGCCTTCAACTGTTACTGGCGTGCAAACAGCATCAGAAGCGACAGCTGAGACAGCAGAATGTGCTTGTGCTGATGCTGCAACTTCGCTGGGCTGGAATAGCTGCTGCAGCTCCCGCTGTAGAAGACGCCGCGCTGCAAGTGCAAAAATTAACGAGGGATTGAGGGAGAGCCCCCCTCCCAACAAGCGAAATGGTGGCTCCTGAGGGCTGTTGGCCGAAGGTAATGCTGCTGCACTGGCCTCCGAGCTCGAACGCATGCAGCAGCAGCGGCTGCTCTTGCTGCACTCAGATGCTGTGCTGCGCTGAGGCGCCCACAGCGTGGAGGGGGGCTGCTGCAGCCATTCTGCTGCCCTTGCGGTTGTCCCTGGTACTTCACGGTTGACAGTCCTCAATCCTCCGAAGGCCAAGACGCTTCGAGTAGTTGCTAAGCCCCTGCTGCTGCTTGTGTGTATTTTGCTGCTGCTCGGCGGCAACAGCAGAAGTAGCAGTAGCAGCGGCTGTAACCGCAGTCTCAGCGAAGAAAAGATCTCACGTAACGCCCCCCGGATCATTTCCCATTCTGTTCAGGTGTATAATAGTCGAAAAGCTTTGTCAAAACATCCAGGTGTAGCAGCTGCTCTAGAGGGGCAAGTTGGCCACTGGTTGCGATCCACTTGGGAGCCTCTGATATTGAAACAAATAAGATTTATGCCTGCCTAATCTCGACATTGAAGACTAGGGAGTCAACTGTAAAGAGACCCAACATCTTGCCTCCAAAGTTGGGACGTGCTCGCCGAAGCCTACAGGGGGCCCCGGTCGTGGGGCCCCAAAGGACCGCCCTCAGCTGAAACAGTCGTTGATAATTACTTTATGTTGCTCTATTCTGGGCCGTCGTTTGTTTCTACTTGTTTTAACTCATTTGCTGAGACACAAGAATTAGGGATTTGTAGGGAACTTACTCTCCGAAGAGCTGCCCTGCCCACATATTTTAGAGCTGGGTGGCGTCTCGGGCTTAAAAATCTTCCTCTCTGGCTACGGCTGAGAAAGTCGGGCGGCCGAACCGCAAGTGTAACTCCAAGAGGAGAAAAACAAGTGGTCCTTCGTCTCCCTATGAAGCCTTAACCTCTTGCATGAATGCCCCTCTGAACCGTCCGTTTAAATGCAATCGTCTTCACTAGAGAAGTCCCCTTGGGGCATTCCGGAGAGCCCCCGGGGATCTGGGCAAAGCACCAAAAGAACTGACTGCGCTGCCACAGTACGGAAGGGATGCCCCCAGACGTTCGGTGGGGTGCCCTCAGGGGCGCCCCCAGGGCCTAGGGACAGGGGGGGGATCGTCTCGGCAGCTCGTACAAATCCGCACTACGGAGAAGATGTTGACGATAAGATCGTCGGGACGGGATGCTCTGAGGAGTACGCGAAGCTGCAGGACTGTTTGGATGACACTGACAAGTATGGGTTCGAAGAGCAAAACAGTAATAGTGCATTACACGAAGATTCACTAGCCGCCTCCTTACTCCTCACTCACTTGTTTCCTGCCTTGTCCGATCCTCTCCTTGTTGCCTGTTGCTTCTGTCCTTGGCCTGAATGACCTGCGTGGCCTTTGCATCAGAAAGAGTTCATGGGTGGTTCAACAGCCTTGTAAGCGCCTGCGGCCGCTGGGGTACAGCACTGTGCCCAACAGCCTCTGAAACCCCGGAACGAAGCAAGACAACAATAAAGGAAGCCTGCGACAGAGAAACTTCTGAAGCAGGGAGACAGGCTGGCAGTCGATCTAGTGATATAGGCATCCGTTGCTTCTCGTCTGTTTGCTCAGGGACTGGAGAAGGTGCCAAAAGCAACTGCGTCTGTTTCAGCAGTGCTGTCAGCGCAATTCTGTCGCCGGCGCCGAAACGCTGAACGCAGGACGCTAAACTCTTGCTGCTAAAACTGTCCTCAACTGCGACTCTTTATGGTGAAGTAAACTGCATTCGTGCGTCCTTTATACTCATATCGTTGGCGAGAGGAAAACAGCAACACATTGTTTTCCTGTCAAAGCCTCTGAGCAACAAAGCCTGCTTTCGGCGGCGGCAGATATTGCTGCTGCGGCTGCTATTGCCACTGCAGGTGCAGCCGTTGAAGTTTAGTCACTGACAACTTCAACTACCACGGTATCTCTTTCGAGCTGCCCCTGACTCCTCTTTTGGCTCTGTTCCAACCCTATTCGATTGTGTTTTCTTCGCTTGCTTGGCCTCCTTAGCAGTTCCAGCAGATGTGGCTGCTGCCTTCCTTTCTGGCGCTTTTGTTTCATCAGTTGCTCGTGAATCGGGGGGGAGGGAAGGCGGCGACGCTGCTGCTGCGGGTGTAGGGGGGTAACGTTTAACTGCAGCTCTTTAATCTCCTGTCTTTGAGTGCTGCTGCTGCTGCTGTTTGCTCTAACGCTCTTGCTTTCTTGCTGCTGCTGAGCAGCTCCTTGAGCCGGGGCAGTCTTAACCAAACCATCACCACTCGGCGTTGTTGCTTCTTTCGCAGCAACAACGCCGAGCGGGGCTGTCTCTCCTGCTATTGTTCCTGTCGTATCTGGTGCCACTGTGGTCTCTTCCTCTGGGGCATCCTTCGCTCGCCATGTAGGAGATACGACGGCTGCTGCTGTTGCTGCTTTGGCTGGAAACTTCTTTGCTGGTGAAGTTGCTGCTGCTGCGAACCCTGCATGCGCGGGGTACGCTGCTGGCTCTTGCTCCGCTGGTACTGCCGTCTGTGCTGTTGCTGTTTCGTGCTGATGCTGGGAGAGCACAGCCAACAGGTCGTCGAGCTCTTCAAAGCCAACACGCCAGTCCTCTTTGATTCGATTTAGCCCAGCATCGGCTCCAGTTGCTGCGGCTAGCTTTGGCTGCTGCGATTGCGGCTGCTGCGAAAAGAATTCATCCAGCCGGCGCAGCCCAATGCTGCCCGCCTTCGCTTGTCTGAAGCCCGACAGACGCACGCCCAGCAGCCGCACCCAGGTCGGCATGCCCCTAAGGCTGCTTTTGCTGTTGCTGCTACCGCTGCTATTGTTACTGTTTGTCTGCTTCTTGAGTAGCTGTTCCCGCATGACGGACTGCAACAAGCCTTGGGCTGCCGTTGCGATGGCTGCGGCGTCATCCGTGTGCTGCGCGAGTCGATGTGAGATTGTTCTTAGAGAAAAGTCTGCGAACTTCACCTTAAGAGTTACATGGTCGCCTTCTTGTCTCAATTCCTTCAGCTGCTTTGCTACTGCTGCTGCCAGTTGCTCCACCACCCGGCGCAGGACTGGCAGCTCGTTGGTTGCTGAAAATGTCTCTTCCGAGCTTATGCTCTGCTGGTGATGTTGTTGTTGGTGCTGCTGCTGCAGCTCAGGAGGCAGCCCGTCAACTCCTAGGGCCATGCGGATAAGGTGTACCGCTGTAATCCGCGGCAGCAAGTGTAGCAGCAGCGGCGCCTGCTGCAGTAGTTCCCCGCATGTTCTTATGTCGAATGCACTCAGCATCTTTTCCCTGTGTTTACCGATCCCTGGTACCTTGCGCACATTGAGTGGCTGTAAAAAGGCAGCTGTGGCTGCTCCAGCTGCTTCAGCAGATGCGCCTGTGGCTTCTACGATCTTCTGTCCGTTCGGCTTGTTCATGTCCGATGCGATCTTTGCTACCATACGACTCGAGGCGGCGCCAGCACTGCAGCTCAGGCCAGTTGCTGCTGTAACAGCAGCCCGGATCTCAGACACAAGTGCTGCTACTCGATCCGTTACTGTTGTCGCTGCCGCTGCTGCTTCTGCCGGCATCTCTTCTGTATTCCCCGGTGTGCTTGTAGGGGGTACGGAAAGGGCCTCAGCGTCTGTACGAGGGAATCTCTTGCTGCAGCAGGATCACGAACGAAGCATACGTTCAGGGTCAACAAGAAGCAGTGCGGCGCTGGGAGCAAGACAAAGATCAGCATAAGGATAAGCCGACAGAGAGGCCAACATAGCCAGAGAGACAGTATGAGAGAGAAACAGCGGGACGCAAAAGACTCAGAGGACCCCCGATCTTGCCTGCTGCTGATGAGAGCAGACATGCAGGGCCAAAGGACAAGCCAAAGCCAATACAGCACGGTAGCCACGAGGCACTAATGAAAATGCGAGCTGCAGCTGCGGCAAAACACGAGCTGCTACACCAGCAAACTGCAAGGACAACGAAGAGGAAAGGAGGGGAGAGGATGGCAGGGCGCAGGAAACCACGAGGAGAGAGAAAACGACAAAGAGGAGGGCGGGAAACACCAAAAGAAAATAGGCTTACAAAAGTCAGACGCTACGGACAAGACTTAGCAGCCAACACAGAATCACTGCACAGGCAGTGCAAGCTAGCACAAGAGAACTATATAAGCAGACAGGGTTCCGCTAGGCTGCGAGGGACAGACACGAGGGCATGCCGAAGAAAACCCAAGTCATGAAGGGATGCAATCAGCCGCAACGTCATACAAAGGCACTGCTGGCACCAAGCGGAACAGCATGAGAGCACAAAACCCCCCATAGCAAGCGCAGCGCCTCGTATCCAAGCCAAACCGATGAGACGCAAGAGAACCACATGGACAAAGCCACAAATACAAGGGAGACAGTGGGAGAAGATAGAGGTGAAGCAGACGAAGGACCAAGAAGCAAATGAGGAGACGACGAGAAGAGCGAAAGCCGAGAGAGGAGAAAGCAAACGTGAGCAGACAAAGGTTAGGAGGGCAGGGTGTTGCGCACTTGAGGCAGTCTGTCACGTCGAGGGAAGCTTCATCGAGGGAATGCAGTGAAAGCGAAGGGTCGTAAGCCTGAAGGACATAGCGAATAGTCTCTCCCGTGGCTCTGTACTTCCTGAAGTTGGGGCGAACAATCGCCAGAGAAGGGCATAACTGCTTTGCAATGAATCCCGGCATGCCCGAGCGAACGCCAAAGCGCCGCGCTGCATAGTTGGCTGTAGACAGCATTGACAAACTCCCCACAGCCATCGGCTGCGACCTTAAGGAGGGATCGTCCCGCATCTCCACTGCACAGAAGAACATATCCATGTCCAGGTGCACGTACACATGGCCTGACTCCCGCTGCTGCTGCTGCTGCAGCAGCTGAAGCACCCGACGCGCTGCTGCCGATGCTTCCGCGCAGCCCCCGCAAGACGTAAAAAGCTGCACACGCCGCCGCAGCACCGCCAGCTGTTCCTCCATTTGTTTCTTCTTCCTGTAAACAGCAAGCAGACAACACGAAGAATTACATATTTTACACTATGGGAGAAATACTTAAGAAATAAAAGGCGGAGAATAGATTTAAACCGTTGACTTTCGTTTCATACTTTTGCAAAATTCAATACTGCACATTTTTTAGATGATTTTGTTTTAACCAGCCGATTTAAACATTAGCACACCCACAAACGCGCATACAATCAACAAATGGAAAGATTATGCCCTGTGGCATAATCTTTCCAGTTTCATACTGAGGTGCATGGGCACCTCAGTATGAAACTGTCTCTCTTATCCCTTTCCTCGTTCTTTGCCTGTTCTCCATCCGCGTGTCCCTGCTTGTCTTTTGCTTCTTCCCTTCCGTCGGATGTCTACTCCTAAGTGCGTTTCCTGTCAATGTTTCGTGGCTTTTACCCACCGCATCTCGTTCAAAAAGAAGGGGGAGTTCTTCGACAGCTCGAATATCTTCGCCGCTATTTTCGCCTTCTCCTCTTCGGTCATATCCATTCCGGCTTTGGCGTTTGCAAATACAAAAGTTTCACGGCAAGCAGTTTCAATGTCGGTCTCTGCAGCACAAGGAAAGTCTTCAGGTGTGCGTACACACCCACCCCCATCCCCGTCCGCCACGCAGTCTTCATCTCTTCTTTCCAATCCATTGCTCCCAAACGGCGCACACATGCTCAGCTTTTCAACGCAGGGGCCCTTGGGAGCCTGCTGCTCCTGTCGCCTCTCAGCCTCCCCACGGGGACCCCCATGTGATTGGAAGCCCTGAAGTTCCTGTGGCCTTTCTGCAGAGCTGACTCTTCCACCAAAAGGTGAAGGTGTATGCCCTACAGGGGAGCTCCTGTAAGAGCTGGTCGGGCATAAGGCCTGAGCATCTCCAGCTGGTGCAACGACGGCTTCGGATCCTGCGGCCTCTGTTGAACTGACGGCACAAGAATATTTTGTGCTGTCTTTGTGCGCAGGTGGGTCATCCATTGCGCTTGCAATGACCGCCACTGCTGCTCCCGTCCGGCCGGGTGAAGAAAGACCGCGCACTCATGTTGTCGGTGCTCACTGCAGTCCAGTGGTTCTTGTTGCGGCAAATGCAAGCCTAGAGGCTGACAGCCACAGGGAACGCGCTCTACTCCATCTTTTTCGGCGTTTACTGTGTCAGCTCTGCCAAGGCAGTGCACCCGCTTCGGTGTCCACACAGGGGGGAGGGGTTAAGACAGGCAGCTGATAAGTATACAGCCCGTGTCTACCCTTCGATTCACACTGGCCGTTTCAATTATTTCTATTGTTAACACAGAGCGAACCCCGGTGCTGGACGCATTACCAAAAGAGTGGAGTATCCCCTTGCGAACTGCATGCCATGGGCTGCCAGTCCTTGTCTCTCATGCCAGAGATTCCACAAATGACGCTCCACAAATATACCACTGTACCAAACGACCATTAGAAGGGTCGTCTCAGTTTTCTCCCAATCTTCTAGGGTTTCAAAGGCTGCATGCCAAGGGGGTGCTGCGCAGAGGGGCCTTGGAGGCCCTCAACCGGGTGACCCGAATCCACGATTGCACTTTTGGTCGCCACTGTTAAATTTTCCCTGTCTTTTGTATAGTTCTTACACTTCTTTACTTGTGTTTCTATGGCAATGATGTGCTTCATGAGGTGTTTGTGATCGCCGGAACCTCTCCTCCCAACATGCTAGCGTGGAAAGGAGTGCCTCAGAAAGCCTGCTGTAGCTCAAGGGTAAGTTCACAGGGACTCTTACAGACTTCGTGCGCCCCTCGAGTCTTCTCAGTTTAAAAAGCTTGGGAGGCGCACAAGTAGAGGTAAAGGCGAGAGCCGAACTTAGTAGCAGGGGTTGGTTCCCACAAAGTTTAAATTCGTGTTCAAACAACCATTGAACACGTGGGGCAAAAAGAAAACTAAGGTGGTGGATTCATGTTCAGAGCACCCCAGTGGTGAACTTTTCAGAGCGAGAGCAGGGAAAAGTCCCCTGAACCTGAGAAACGATCCACCCTAAATCAGTGATAAGTGTTGATAGCCTAAGGGTGTCTGCTTCCTTCAGCAAGCTTCTTCTACGAGTGGTGCTTATGCGCTTCTCGGTGCCCACGCCATTCGCTGTGGCTGGCGCAAGGGGTGTTCAAGATATTAAAGAAGAAACCCCCTCATTCCTTCCGGGAACTCCTGCTTTCGCAACCCACTGGGAGACTTCTTTGCAACCATCCCATTCCAAACCTTCCAACACCTCATGATGTTTAGCTGAATGGTATCATGCTCAATGTACTGAATTATATCGAGCTGCATACACATGCGTCCGCCTCCAGTCTTTGCCCATCACCAAACCGCAGTGTCAACCGAGACTCTCGAGCAAAGCAAAGCCCTAAAGCCCGGTGGGGTCAGTTACCTCCCAAGGAAGAACCAAATATCACGCTACAGGCATGATGCAAACCTCTCCATGGCACGCAGCCTCAAAAAAGTGCATAGGAGTGACTTTGCAACCAGTAGGGCCCTACGCACTTGGGGCTGGACAAGGAATTGGCGGTTCTATGGACAGCCGAGGCTTTTGAACACAATAACGTGTGTACTTGAGCACTCAAGTACGTTGCTGATTTATCGCGCATTACTCTACGAGGCGACATATATGTAGATTTTCGCAAACTCAAGTTCTCCAGGCGTCTAAGCTTGCAGGGGAGCCTCTTTACGCATCGCTACGAACCGCGGCCGAAGAGACGGGTGGTACGGCAAGAGCCACTTAGGCCACGAATGTGCAAATGGCCCAGCGGCTCCCTTTTCCTGCTGCTTGTCTGTCCTGCTAGGAGGCACCTGCTGAGCTTAAGAATGTTCCTCTGCAGGCTTGGAGTGTTGGAGGGAGCTTCGCAGCGCCTCAACCCTCTCTGTTTCCTCCTTTGCTTCGCCGCTTGAATCCGCACTATCTTTCTCATCTGCAGCTCCGACAGATTCAATTTCCTCCTCTTCCTCTTCGACGCCGTATCTCTGGAGAATCTGTTGGCGTCGCTGCAGCTTCTCTTCTTGCATTTGCGTTAGCATTATGTCTCTAGCTTGCTGCACCAGCTGATTCAGCAGGAAGCCCAGCACTAACAAAAGCAGCCAGACCTCCGGCCGACTTAACACCTCGAACACTACAAACCCTATCCCCCTGAACCATCCCTGCCAGTCCTCCTGGGTCTCACCCCTGCGGCTGTAGCCACTGCTGCTCTCCGACCGCTTCGGGGCAGCACCAAACGAGGCCGTCGGGACGCCTGTGGAAAAGGCAACAATTAAACAAATCCCCCTAAACCATAAATCCTCATCGACCTCCCTCCCCAGTGTAAGCAACAAACACAGCCATAAACCCGCTTCGCACCCACAAGAAGCACAGAAATGCAGGAGGCAGCCATCGTCCGAGCTCGAGCTCTTCGACAGAAGACAGCTTGCAAATTCCGACCCCTCACCATTAAAGCAGCTACTCCGTCTCTGGCCACGGCCCCCTAAAGAATCTGAGTCATTCTCCTCTAGAACCTCATAGCCCATCTGATTGCAGAAAGAGAGGCTGTCTCCCAACGCTGGAGAAGGCGACGGAGGCAGACAGGCCCGACAACCCCAAAACTCAACCAATCAAATGACAGGCATGAATATATTTGCACCTCCAATGGACATGCATATATATATATATATAATGCGCACTGCAACTGAAAGGTAGTTGTGTCCAGCCCCAAACAAAGTTTGTTTTGAGAGTTGGGCAGCGCTTTAGGAAAAGTGACTGCAGCAGAGGAAGGGGCACAAGCAGCAGCGCTCACTAGAGGAGAGACGAGAGCAGATGAGGGAGCTGTCTTCGCAAAAGGTCAAGGCGCTGCCGCTCCCCGACGGAGAGGCAGACACAAACTCCTCCTTGCAAGCGTTGAACCTGAGCAGAGACAAACTTCTCCCCGCAAGCACTGAACCCGAGCAGAAACCCGGAACGCACAACCTCAAGGCTTCAGTAGCTATGAATGCTTCGGTCGTCTTGCTATTTCCTGTCGAACTGCTCTCTTGGCTACGAAGCGCCTAGGACAGCCAACTCAGCCCTTTTTAACTATGACAACCCTAAACAACCTGAAACCCTCAAACTGCATGCAGCCGTGAAGCGCCTCCAACCCTACACCCTAGAAGCTCACCACCTTTCACACAGCTGCGGACACAGGATGGGTTTGCCCTTGTTCTCGAGTTCCCCGGTGCCGAAGCGCGGCTCACACATCACGCACAAAACTTCCTCCGACACTTTCTGCAGCAGCAGAAAGAACCAGCAGAACCAAGCCGCTGCACTGAACAGAGCTCCCCAACCACAAGTGGGAAACACACTGAGAAGCATCCGCAGCAGCATCACGAATACACTCGATAGCGCAAAAAGAGCAAGCAATCTAACATCGCTGCAGCAAATACGGTAGAATAACCGAATCCCCAGCAGCAGGTGCAGCAAACGTGGCTGTACCGCCAACTGCAGCTGCAGCAGCAGTTGCTGCTGCGGCTGCTGCAGCTGCAGAGGACCCAAGGCCAGCCGTATGGTCACCGACCACTCACTTGGCAGTTTTTCGCGTCTTCCAGGGACCCGAGGCGCCTCCTAATGAGCTCCGTATGCTGGGGGTAGCAGCAGGCTTAAAAACCAACAACCGCAAACACTGAGCAGCGGCTTGTATGTTCCCATCCCAAGGAGAGGCTAAGCAACGCCTCCAGCAAGAGCAGCTAAATGAACACACTCTCCCCCCTTCTCCCGTCTTTCCGAAAGCAGCAGCAGCACCAGCCGCAGCTTACTGTTTGCTGCATGACCTTTGCAGGCTTGAAACGAGTACGTTCTCTGGTCTTGAGGGGGTTGTCCATCGAAACTCAAGCGGCGAAGACACACGGCCCGCTCTACGCACGCAAACCCCGAACCCTACACCCTAGCAGTAGATTGAACACCCTAAGAGTGAACTGAAAAACAGTTGCAGGGCCATGTGGAAGAGTGTCCTCCTTAAGACGGCACCTCTACAATATCAGCTGCCCAGGGTCTGCCATGGGAAGTTCGCTAACCCGCGGATGCAGTGATACTCGTGGAAAGGGCAACAGCAAGCGGAAGCAGCAGCAGAACCGGCATCGTCTGGCCGCTCTTGCTGCCAGTGCTGCTGCTGTCTCCACAGAACTTGTTTCCTGTCCACTGCCCGTGCAGTTGGCTGGCCTCGCTGGAGGTAAACGGTTTCGGTGGCAAGCCCACAAGACGCCTTGCTGCTGTTGCTGCTACTGTGGGTTTCCAAGCTTACTGAGCTTCCAGCTGGATCCCTGTTGCAAAACCTGCTGCAGTAGTCGGTTGTACAGCAGCAGCTCTCGTTGCAACGGCGGGTGAACACTTCCAAATGCAAATCAGCAACGGCGGCGACTTATGCTCTGCCCCCAGAACATCGTTTGACTTCGCTGAGTTGCCGCACTCGCTGCCGGAGCAACGTGGCCAGTACCCCACCAAAGCTCTTCCATAAAAAAGTGCTCTACCTAATGTACAGTCTAATACCAAGTAAAGAGAGGGTTACTCAGGCTAACACCGGATGGTGTGCATTATTACAGCTGGGGCCAGAGAGCTAGGGGCCCCAACGGGCCCCCAATTTTGGGGCCCCCCTCTGAAGGCCCCTCAACCATAGCAGGTCTGTAGCCTTCTCACCAAAGAAAAGTCAAGAGTTGTCCCGGTACTTGATGAATTTGTGCCGTTTCGTTTATTCGCACGCAAAGTGGATTTCAGAGTGCGAATGGCAGGCCTGTTTCCCTCCCACTTGCTCTACCGCAGGCCTCTCAGACGTATGTGAATTCACATATATTTGGGTGCGCACTGACTACTGAGAGCCAATTAGGCGTCTAAAAATTGCTACTGCACTAGTGCATACGCCGCTAATATGTGCACATTTGTGGACATTTGCTATTGAGATTAGCTGGAGTCTTCCACTTTTCCTGAGGATTGTCGCGAGCTGCATTAAAGTCAAGGACTCGGGTATAGGATTCCTAAAGACCTGCTGCGCTGGGCTCTTTATCAGCCCCCGGCAGTGCAGGGCACAGCAGCAGGATGGCCTGAGGAAGGCAGCCTGTTACGAGCTGCCGCTTACTGCTGCTAATGCTGCAAGGGAGCCCTACATGCAAGTACAGCTAAGCACTTTTTGATGCGCGCCCAAACACTGTAGAGAGTTGTTAGGCACTTGGCCCTGCATTTCCAGCCTCCGCCCATGTGCAGGTGCCCGTATTAGCTTCAAACGACCACGCTACAGAAACTCTAGCCATCTGTCGTGTCGTCAGCTGCAATAGTGCAACATGGTCTGTCTGGAGTTGGTACGCATCCTTCTACGTACTTGGGGGTTGGTTACTGAGGGGGAGATTCTCCACAATAGCCTACCGGGCTAATCTGCGCACCAAGGGGGGCATTGGATACGCTTGCGTGCGGAGGTGGGTCTTGTCAGGAGCTGCATCACTGTGCGTTCCAACGCATGACAGGCTCGTCCTTCTTCTCTACACGATCTACGGGCCCTGGTTCGGCTGTGCCCAGCGCGGCTGGTGTCCTGAAAGAAAGCCAGTTGTTGCCTTTTGGGGAACGCATCCCTTAGGTATTTTTACTCCAGTGCAGCTCACGAGGATCCCCTGCTCGGACAGAGGCCCATCCTTTTCCCCACGGCAGTAGTGAAGGTAGATCTGGATCTACCCTCCGCCAGGGCGGCGACCAACAGCCGGCTGGCTTCTCTGACGGGAACCAGCTCAGCATCTGCTTCTCATCCGGCATAAGATGTCTTTGCAGAGAAAACGACATACCAGGGATGCCTCCGTCCTTGCTGGTGGAGCAGACATGACAGACGCCGTGATGTGAACGCAGTGAAGGCATCCGTCGCTTTTCTGGAGCGGTACTGTCGTCTTCCTAAACACTCGACGAGATGCAGTCGCTATTAGCACCTCCACCATTAGAAACAAAATCACGACAATGGTGGCCATATCTCAACAAAGATACCAGTTTTTCTTTAGCACGTCCAAAGTTTTAAATAGTTCTGACATGCGCTGCGTTTATCCCGGTTCTACAAGGGAGCAGGCAATGCAATAGCTGTGAAAACTTAAACGAGAGAAGCTGTTTATAGAGCGCTACATCGAAGTGCCCTAGTCCTCCGTGAATTGCGTTGCGCAGATGTACACTGCGAAAGATAACTTCAGTGGGCCAGTTGCCTACTTTGTTGCGTGCTGATGATGCAGCCACATGCGGGTGGAAGCAGCGGCAGGCAGAAGGCCCATGCCCCCTTTTACTGTTTCAGGCGTTCGATATGCCAGCCTGTTTTGAGCCTTTCCCTTACTTAGGTTCGCCCCTGCGCAACTTGGCACGCGGGCGCCTGAAGGTGTAGCATCTGTCAGAGGCTGGTTGGTGCATCGGTTTTTGAATGTATGCTGGCTACTGAGGGCCAAGCAATAGTTTGAGAATTGCCCAAAGCTTTTTATACATGCCTAGAAATGGGGTCTAAGCACGAATGCATCTTGGGTTGCCTTGTGCCGGGAGTTGCACCAAAGAATGCTACAGCTCAACAGACAACAAATGACTCAAGCCTGCCCACCCCCCATCCACAAGCGCTCCAGCCACTGTATCCAAGAACCCTAGAGATAGGAAAGAATACAAGGTGTCTTCTGCAAATTACTGTTCTACGCGTTTGGACTGCACTGCTGCTCGCGCCATTCATACGCTGATCCTTGGGACTATCGGGTGTGTGAGATCGACGATCTCTGTTTAGCAAACCAACGAGACAAAAAAAGGTCATATTTTTGTAGAGCACTGTGCTGCAGAAGGAAACGTCCTTATACTTCAAATATGAGCAGTTTCCGGAGGCAAGGCTGACAGGCCGAGCCGAAAGAGAAGGGGAGTGTGTGGGACCATTGTGGCACGCTATGCGAAAGCGTTATATTCAGACTCATCATTGTTGAGCTGAAGAGTCCAGTTGGCGCAAAGTGGTTTCTTGCGTAGCATTTCAGCCATGGCATTAAGCATACAATCCATTATTGACAGCCTCCGTGTTGCCTTAATGCGCCGACACACTTCCACGTTCGGTGGATTTGAGCCAAAAATCCTCACTTCTAATTGAGTGCCTTTTCTGTGTTGCTAGCTAGCTAGAAACTGATTCTGCTGGTACCGGAGGAGTTGCATAGGCATACACGTTTCCCCGGGACCACGTGAGAGGCTAGAGCGTGTGACCAGCGTGTCAAGGTATAGGGGGCGCACATCAGCTTTATGTTCATTTAGCTTGCTTTCCTCTGTTATTTTGAGTGTTGAAATCGCTTTCAAAGAAATAAATTCCCAGCAGCTTGGACATCGCTCAGCTCAGTCGATCGGAAGCGCCGAGTTGTTCGGCCGGGATGACCCGTGGGGCTGCTGGCGCAAGAAGCCGTCACTTCCCAGTGCATCAGCGTCTTTAATCAGATGGCAGCTAAAATAATGGATTATTTTGATTTTTTTGGAGCTGAATAACATCGATGCGGCTCTCGCCTCACTCCTGGCTCGTCTGCCACTGCCGACAGGCCGCCGCCTCCCAGCCAGCAGGCGGTTACAACTGCGACGAAGCCGAAGTCTGTAATCCCCTAAAGAGCCATTCTCAAATATTTTACTATTTAAAACCGCATTTCCGTCTGTCTTGTTCAGCAGATATGTTGCAAGTGGCTGTCGGTTTCACAAGCGTCTCAACCATTGGACATTGAAAATCCCATCGCCTCTGCCCTCAGAAAACCCTGGTGGTTCCTCTTGAAGCAAACTGCATATTCGCTGAGTGCTTGAAACTTAAAAACTTCGCGAACTCTTTGAACTGGGTAGGAGGAGCCGCATCTATAACTCACGAGCCGGGCACCGCCGACAGGCAACCAGCTAGCAACTGTGTCTGCTGTCCTTCAGTGGCAGTCGTCTGCGCGTTTCCCAACTCCACGAGAAGTTTTTGAAAAGCGAGATATTGCTTCTGGATTCATCGTGTAAGAGTGGCCTGTGCTTGGGGGTATTTCGAGTGTATATGGCTTCGCAGCGCTTCCCCACTCTGCTTCCTCAACTCTGCGTCGAACGTCTGCTCCAATTTTGCTCGGTTGCTCATATCTTTGCCCCATACCTATAGAGAGCTCTCGATTTACAAACTTGAGTGCAGGGCGATTATACAGGAGACCCCAGGCTGGGTGCATAAGGAAGGGGTCAATTCGGATGCACTCGGTGGCGCAGAGCATCTGCGTCCTGGCCTCTGGGTTATCATAAGGGCAGCCGAGATAGCTAATTAAGCTAAGCAACCGGTGAACTTGGCTAGCTTCAACGCCACTGCCCATCGCGCGCAGCTACTGTCTGTCTCTTGCCCGCACACCGGTGAATTTGCATTCAAAGACACTGCAGATTTGCAGTATAATGAACGGACCTGACGGCTTCCTTGTCACCTCTACGGCAGCAGCAGCTCGAGAAAGCTCTTCGTGGCTTATGCGGAGTGCACGTGGGGCTGGTGTCTCAGGAGAGAACATGCTTCCTCTTTGCCAGCTGCAACTTTCCACCGAGAATAAAACGGACTCTTCTAAGTGCCAAGCAGATGCAGGCGACGCTTATAGATATATTCATGCCAACCGTCAGACCCCAATGACCCCTCAAACGACAGATAAGGGTGCACTTTTGCAAGACCTTAGCATCGCGCTCTTCTCAAAGTTGGCGGAATCGTTGCCGAAGGATAAGGGGCCCCTTAGCTTTTTGAGCTGGGAAGACGGGAGCTGGTACTGCGGGCATGTGAGAGAGGGGAGCCTCGATGGTTTGGGGGTGTACAGGTATACTGACAACTCAGTGTATTGCGGTCAGTGGGCTCGCGACCGGCTTCACGGCTTGGGCGTCTTCATAACGCCCAGTGGATTCGTCTATAGAGGCGGCTTTGAGGCAGACAAACAGAGCGGGCCCGGTAAGTCTTCCTCTTCCCTCCTTCTACTGTGCAGTTGACGGGTCTTCCATCTTCCCCTATACGTCTGTGCTTGGGGCTTTGTGGGCTCTGTTCAGTTTTACCTGTCTTCAAGTTGGGGCGCACAGCTTGTAGCAAACAACACTGTCTACTTGGGGGGGGTGTTGGGGGGGGGGGGGGGGTGGGGT